CGTGGACTGGCTGGCGAGGCTGCCTTCGTCAAGGAAGGGGGCAACTATGTTGCTGAGCAAATCGCCGAGGATGTCAACCACCGCCACGTTGACCGTGTATCCGCCCGCATCTCGCCCTACTTCCAGACCTTCACCGAAGCCAGCGCCACCATTGCCGACGCTGTGCAGCAGTACTACGTCGAAGAGGACGCCCGTAAATTTGGTGTCCCCGAAAGGGAGGATGACGGCGAGACTGAGATCGTCAACGCCGACTTCTCTCTTGCCTATGGTGGCATGCTTCTGCTCTCCCACACCAACCTTCGTCTCCTCAAGGGCCACCGCTACGGTCTTTGCGGTCGCAACGGTGCCGGCAAGTCCACTCTCATGCGTAGCATTGCCAACGGCAAGCTTGAGGGCTTCCCTCCCCAGGATGTTCTCCGTACATGCTACGTCGAGCACACCAGGGCGAGGATGCCGAGATCAGCATTCTCGAGTTTGTGTCCAAGGACCCTGAGATCGCTACCCAGGGTCGCGAGAAGATTATTGAGGTTCTTGATGAGTTCGGCTTCCCTCTGGTCCCGAGGGCAGGCAGTCGCACAAGGTTGGCTCCCTGTCAGGCGGATGGAGATGAAGCTTGCTCTGGCTCGCGCTATGCTTGCCGCGCCGACGTCCTCCTGCTCGACGAACCTACTAACCACTTGGATGTTGCGAACATTGCCTGGCTCGAGAATTACCTCAGTCTCACACCGACATTACTAGTTTGATCGTGTCCCACGACTCTGGATTCCTCGACACGTCACGACCGACATCTACCACTACGAGCCTGGCAAGAAGCTTGGCCACTACAAGGGTAACCTCGCTGCCTTTGTCGAGGTCAAGCCCGAGGCTAAGAGCTACTACACGCTCTCGGCCTCTCAGGTCCAGTTCAAGTTCCCTCCCCCGGGAATTCTTAGCGGCGTCAAGTCCCAGACGCGTGCCATTATCCGCATGTCCAACGTCTCGTACGCCTACCCTGGATCTGACAAGCCGTCGCTGTCGGAAGTATCGTGCCAGCTCTCGCTCTCTTCCCGCGTCGCCATCATTGGTCCCAATGGTGCCGGAAAGTCCACTCTGATCAAGCTGCTTACGGGCGAGACAATTCCTACTACCGGAAAGGTAGAGAAGCACCCCAACCTGCGTATTGGCTACATCAAACAGCACGCTCTCGAGCACGTCGAGATGCATCTCGAGAAGACCCCCAACCAGTACTTGCAGTGGCGTTACGCCAACGGTGACGATCGTGAAGTCTTCCTCAAGCAGACTCGCATTCTCTCCGACAAGGACCGTGAGCAGATGGACAAGATGATTGATCTCGGTGACGGTAAGGGCGGTCGCCAGCTTGAGGCGCTCGTTGGTCGTCAGAAGTGGAAGAAGACATTCCAATACGAAGTGTAAGTTTAATCGCCTCGTCAAGCATTGCGGTCCACTAACACTTTTCAGCAAATGGCGCAACTGGCTGCCCAAAAACAACAGCCAGGTCTCCCGTGAGACTCTTTCGGAGTGGGGTTTCGACAAGCTCGTCCAAGAGTTTGACGACCACGAGGCTTCGCGCGAGGGTCTCGGCTACCGTGAGCTCCAGCCCTCTGTCATCTCCAAGCACTTCCTTGACCTGGGTCTCGACCCGGAGATTGCCAACCACAACGAAATTGGCTCTCTTTCTGGTGGCCAGAAGGTCAAGGTCGTCATCGCCGGAGCCATGTGGAACAACCCCCATCTTCTCGTGCTCGACGAGCCTACTAACTTCTTGGACCGCGACTCCCTCGGTGGTCTTGCTGTTGCCATCCGCGACTTCAAGGGTGGTGTCATTCTCATTTCCCACAACGAAGAGTTCGTCGGAGCGCTCTGCTCCGAGCAGTGGCTCGTCAACGACGGTCGCGTCGCGCACCGCGGCACTGCTGCCGTCTCCCTCGACCGCTTCGAGGACTCGTCTCGCCCTGGCTCCGGCCCTTACCTCGGGCGTCGCCTCGACGGCGGCCAGCTCGGCCATGTCCTCGGCTGTCAACTCGGGCACCGAAGACAATGGCGACCTCAAGTTCAAGGCCAAGAAGAAGCGCAAGAAGACCAAGAAGGAGATCAAGGAGCAGGAGGTCCGTCGTCGCCTCCGCCACATTGAGTGGCTCAACAGCCCCAAGGGCACCCCTCACCCCGTCGACACCGACGACGAGGCATAGGCGTGCTTGAGGCAGACCGATCGAAAACGTATAAGTACGGTCTCGGATCGTCGAATGCACGAAGGCTCGTGAGATTTGGCCAGACGGCAAAACGGGCCAGCAGTATACCCCCGAACCCGTCACGAGAGATGTTGAAACGAGTGAAAACCAAAAGCGTATGAGGGGCTGGATATCTGGCCAGGACCAGTTGGACAGTCATTTTGAAGAAAAGGCGGGATTGAAGCGGTAGAGTAGGCAAGGGAGAGCCCCCCACCCCCCCGTTGATGGTGGCTACCTAGCTTTTTTTGTTTTGTTCTGTTTTGTTTTGTTTCTATCAGGCAAGACCTCTTTTGTTCTCATTTTGCGAACATGGTCTTGATTTATGCTTCTTCTTTTTCTTCTTGGGTTGCGGGATCACTTCTCCGCCCGCTCTTTCTCGATGATGGCCCGGATAAGAGGGGCCGGATGGATTTCCTTTACCACTCTCCATCCGAACAAACTGGCATAGAGGCGTTTAGCATTAGATGGGCGCGCGTCGTTGTGGCGCAGAGGCATTTTGCCGCGTGACGAAATATAGGGAGAAGATTTTTTTTTTGACTGACATGTTTATAAGCGCCTCCCTTCCCGCCTGATGCCTCGTGTCATGTCCATACCAATTGTGCTGAACGAACCTCACAGGACCATGAGTACGAGTCTGCGTCAATAGTCACACAGGGTTGCGACCGGCTCCTGGACGATACAGAGCAATGTATCACTTTGCGATTACGAATGACAAATTTTCAGAATAGATATGCATATAGAGTAGTCGTCAATTTCTCTGGTTCCTTGGGCAATCTGCCCTAATGATCAACATTCCCGCGCTTTCTCAAGCGCACCATGGCCAAGTCGTCAAGCCTAAAGCTGAGCCTGGCCCCTTATGAACCTCTCGTAAAGAATTAAACTTTAGATAGAGCGATACGGTGCGAAGGAACTCGAGAGTTCTCGTCGTCACTACGTACGTAGCCTCCCCCTCTGTTCGCCGCGTCCTGTCTGCGCGGTGCTAAATATCCAGGTGGTGTCTAAGTGGTTCGTGTAGATGTGCGAAAAAAGGATCAAGTTTCAACCCAACGCCAATGTGGTCCCAGGTCTATAAATCCCGGCATCCCGTCAACGCCTATTCGAGTATGTACACAGCTCAAGCTGTATGCCCCATGAGGCGATCGCGATTCATCATGTCTGGAAAAGGGTTTTTTTTTTCAAGTTGCTTTGCCGTATGTAGGGCGTGTATTGTGCATGTTGAGCCTCGCCTTTACCATGAGAAAGTCATGAGAGCTGGGTTGAGGGCAATGGGTAGGAGGAAATGACTCGCGGCGACAGTGGCCATTGGCAGAATGGCAACGAAGTCGGTAATACGCCAGTCGTGAGGCACGAAATCTGCCACAGCGAGGATGATCATAGCAGCAATAAAGGTCAAAGAGAAGATCATCGAAAATTTGAACTGTAATTGGGCACACGTCAGCAGACTGTTGCAAGGAAAGGAAAGCTGAAGTGAACAATGCCCGCTGATTGGTGCGAGGCCCGGTGCGTGTGGTGAGAGGTGTACTTTCAGCTGCGCCACCAGCGCGGGATAATCGGATGCTTGGGGTAGGGAGAAACTGACCTTCTTAAGAACCTTGGGCACCTCGATGAAGAAGTTGGAGAACTCGGCCTCTTTGGATGTCGCTCCCCAGGTCATGTTGATTTCGAACATGTGCGCCAGCAGAGCCTGACTGACGTGCAGGCTAAGACCACCGAGGAAGATCGCAAGCATAATGGTCCACTTGAAGTTTTCAAAGAGCGACCACAACAGGCTGCGTTCGCCAATACGATAACGCATGACGGCGAGAGCAATGTTACCGAGACCATTGAAGACGATGACGATGGAGAACCAGACCTTCCAAGAGTCGATGTAGTACTGATCGAGGTATCCGTTGAACCAACCCATGGCGAAGTAGTTGGCAGCCGTCATGATCCAGGCAGCTCCGATGGCGTAGTAAGTACCAATGTACGAGACAACGGTGATCTTGGAGGTGAAGCGAATGTTGCTGAACAAGAATGTGCGGAACAGTGGCGTGAAAGGACCCCTCCAGAGCCAAGTGCGGATGGGGTGGAACAGCAGCTCGTTGCAACCATAGGCATACTTCTCCCAACGGGCGAGCTCGTCGTAAACGGTCAGCGACACACCCTCCTTGAAGCCATCACCGGCCCAAGCAGCGAGACGAATGATGTAGCCGTTGCATTGAAGACGGAGGGACATGTCAAAGTCCTCCGAGACGTGGGATTCGGACCAGAACTTCTCGTAGCCGTCATGGTCAAAGTATCCCACCTGCTGAATGGCACTCCAACGGAGGATGGCATTGTGACCGACGAAGGGCGCGACATCGCCGTTGGCGACGGTGTAACGAATGGCTGTGTAGATGAGGTTGGTGAAGAACGTGATGCCGTTCTCAAAGTATGTGTTGACAACTTGCATGAC